TCCTAAAAAAGAAAGAATAGGAATTCGCCATGCACGCAAGAAGGAAATGCTATCCCAGGGTGTGCCAGGGCCTAAGTTTGGACTTCATCTGGAAGCTGATCTGGAATCACTCTTTTTAGGCAGAATAACATGATGAGATTTTCATTTCTAAATGGTATCTCTGGGGGGTAGTGTGGAGGAGAGATTTACAGACGGCTCTCCCAAAGACAGAGGGGTCCTGTAATAAGGACACAACTGTGACTGAGGTATCGGCTAGAGGCCTGGACTAGGGACGTTAAAGAGAAAATGAGGGAGGGCATCCCTTTAAGAGTAACTAAGACGTAGCTAGATAGGACTGCGAGATTCATTCAATGTTGGGGATAACTGAGAAGAAGGAATGTAAGGTGATCCCTAGGCCTTTGCAACTTGACAGCAATACAGTTAGCATTAGTCAGTGTAGGAAACAGAGGAGGAAGTCTGGGAGTTGGGAAAAGGATGGGCTCAGCTGAGAACACACTGAACTTGAGAAGTCTAGAGAGCGCAGGGTAGAGAACTCCTGTAGGCTGCTGGCTATTCAGATCTGGACTCAGAAGAGGGGTCTAAGATGCATAGAAATTAGAGTGGTAGCTAAAACTATGGAGTGGATAAAAAAATCTGGACTATATCAATATTTAAGGTATTGCAAAGGTTGAGGAGATAGGGGCCGGCAGGTGGCATGGTGGTTAAGTTGCTGGACTCCCAGGTGAACAACTGTGGTTTGAGTCCTGGATCTGGTGACTCGCTTTCTCATTCCCCCACCCCGGTTAAATTAAATAATAATAATAATGAGTAAAATAAAATAAATCATTCTTAAAAAAAAAAAAAAAAGAAGGATGAGGGGATAGCAAAATAGGAAGGATTTATCTAGAGAACAAAGTGACAGAGATCAAAAGAGATGAAGAGGTGAGTGGTTCATATGTTACCGAAAAAAATATTAATGTCAAATATCACAATAAAACAAACCATGGCTGTCGGAAGATCAGCTCTTTGATATTCACAAGTATACAAAATAACTTCTAACCCAGGATTGCCCAAAAGATTTAGTATTAAGAACAAAGCAAAGCCGTAAACAAAACAAAACAAAAAGACACTGATCAAAAGCTAAGAATAGTAGAAGAATCGAAGATGAAAGCCGCTGTGCAGGCTGGAGGTCTGGGTAAGGATGAGGGTGGGGGCTCTAATGGAGGGACCAGGTGTACGCTTGGGCCCTGCGCTCGCTCACCAGTCACCTTATCAAGGGAGAGAGGGCCCAGTGCTCCCCAGGAACATGGCTAGATGAATTACAGACACGCTGGGGCCAGCAGGTGTCGCTGGTGTTGGACTCCCACGTGGTTGACCATGGTTTGAGCCCAGGACCTGGTGGCTTGCTTTCTCAGTTTCCCTTTCTCTCTCTCTGTCTCTCTCTCTGGTGGTGTGCCCTATAGCAAATTAAATCATCATCACCATTATAAATAAAACTAAATAAATAGTTCTTAAAAAAAATTAAAGGGACCTGCCTGCCTCAAAGCTAGCCCGGGCTTTGACTGGTTGTGAAACAGGGACAGAGACTGTACTTGATTCTTGTTGGGCTTTAGAACAGAAAGGTTGGTTTGAATTAGGGCTGGATGTGTTCCCATGGTAGAATAAAGTCACATATAAGCTGCAGTTAGAGATAAGGTGTTGACAAAAAGGAAGCAAGGACAGTGACAAAGCACTTGTAAGACGCCGAGGGTAGGCTCCACACACCGAGCTCTCCTCCCCACTCCCCCTTCGCCCTGTCCCCCAGAGACTCAGCTGACGGGCGGCTGGAATCTGAGAACACTCCTGGCCATCCCGCTAGCTCGTGGAATCGGCTCGTGGCCCTCTCCCGTGTCAGCATTCCAAGATGGGAGGCGTTAAATTAAGGTACAAGCTCTGGGACACCCTGCTAATCAATAACCTGACATTTCCTTGTCCTGCTCAAACCAGACCCCTGCCTCGGAGACGGGGCGTCTGTGCTGATCTTACAGCTGCTGGACGGCCGCTTCGATCTTAGGGCGCGTGACGTGAGCCCATGCACGCGGTGGCGTGGACCGTCCTTTGCCTCGCTGTTAGTGGAGCATCCTTTCCTGTGTAAGTAACTTTTGTCTTCCTCTACTGGACCTTGAGGTGTGTTCTTGTAAACTTTGTACACAAGCTCTCTCAGATTTGAGGCTCCTCCTCCCTTACAGATACCAACCATGTGAAGAGAGAAAGAGGTGAGAGAGACCATCCAGTTACCACCCGTGTTCCCAGCTGCTGTGCCCTTGAGAACAGGCTGCACCCGGGCAGTGGATTCTGGGAGAGTCCTTTACACCCTTGCAAGGGTATCTGGATTTTTGTAATAATAATAAGAATAATGATAATGATAATAAATAACATTCGTTGATAGCTTACAACATGCCAGACACTGCTCAAAGCGTTTTGCATACAGTAACTTATTTTTTTGTTTGTTTGTTTGTTTGTTTTGAGAGATTTTCACTGTAGGGCGCGTGCGCTCGTCAGACAGACAGAGAGAGACATAGAGACAGAAAGCGAGAAATCACCCCCCAGGGGGGATGGTCACGCCGCAATCCCTTCTCCTCCATTCTCCTCTCGGGATCTTGGGCACGCACGCACACGCGCCCGGCGTGAGTTTTAAGCCACCAGGTCCGGGACACGAACCGCGGTCGACCACGTGGGAGTCCAGCGACATAGCCATTACGCTAACTGCTGGTTCCCGCATACAGTAACTTATTTCATCCTTGTAACTATGCTAGGAGGGAGGTACTTTTTTTTTAAGAGAGATTTTTGCTATAGAGCATGTGTTCTTGCCAGAGAGACAGAAAGGGATAAATCAATCCCAAGGGCAGATGGCCACGCAGCAATCCCTTCTCCTCCATTCTCCACTCAGGATTTTGGGCATGCACACACACGTGCCCAGCATGAATTTCAAGCCACTGGGTCTGAGACCCAAACCATGTTCGACTACGTAGGAGTCCAGTGACATAACCATTACGCCATCTGCTGGTCCTGGGGGATACTATTTTTATTTCCATTTTATTGATGAAATAACTCAAGCAAAGCAGGTAACATGTTTGCTCAAGATACCCAGGTTTTGGGTGTGAAACTTGTCAAAAATAACCTTTTCCAACCAAAGTTAAGCTTTCTATTCTCCAGAGTAAACAAAAACGCCTATGTATGCTGATCAAACATTGTTCTAAATACCAGAAATGAAAAGAAATGATTTAAATAAGAACATGCTCCTGTCCTTAAGGATCTTTCAGTCCAGTAGAGGAGAAACTTGGGGAGGCCAAAGGGCAGGGCAGAGCAGGGAAGGGCTGGAAAGGGCAAAAGCTGGCAGAACTGGAACAGGAGATCAGAAGCAGTGATCGGAATAATCAGCAAGAGACCAACAACAGAAAACAAAGTCGAGACAGAACACAGAGGTTCGAGGACAGTGAGCCAAGGCCTACTCCTCGGGAGACCTGAGGGCTCAGACATTACAGGAGGCAGGTGTTCGGAGGACATGCAAATGCCTCCACTACCCCATGGCTCTTCTGGGCTTCAATCTACAATAAACTAAGGGTCATGGCACGTGGCAGGAAGTCCAGAGCATTTATTTTTGAAGAATCCAGGATACCCAGTTCTCGCAGAATAAGAAATATGTTTAAAAAATATGTAAACAGGGGGCCATTCAGCAGGTGGCATGGTGGTTAAGGCACTGGACTCCCACATGGCTAACCATGGTTCAAGTCCCAGACCTGGTGGCTTGCTTTCTCACTTTCTCTCTCTCTGGTCAAATGAAATAATAATTAATAACAATAAATTAAATAATTAGAAAAAATAGAAATTTATAAACAGGCAGAAGAAAGTACATTTTAAATATGCCAGGCATGAAAGGAGAGCACAGCATCATCGTTCCAACCGAGCAGGAGCCCCGTCCTTCCTCGTCTTATCCTTCCTGTTACTTCTGCCCTGGAGCTTGGGAGAGTCCCCGAGCAGCATGGGGGCAGGGGCTGAAGCGAAAGGCAAAAGACGGGGAAAGGAGCAGGGACAAAGCCTGCCGTGTGTGGTTCCCAGGTCCACTACCTGCTTTGCCACAGTGTGGGGAGACAGGAAACTTCCTTTCAAGTTGATCACCCAGGGTTGGACTTAAAAATAACTGATGTGACGCTGGTGCTTTTGTTTTGTGTTTATTTTGTTAATTTATTTTTTATTTTTTGGGAGAGATTTTTGCTATAGGGCACGTGTGTTCGCCAGAAAGACAGAGAGAGACAGAGAGACAGAAAGTGAGAAATCACCCCCCAGGGGGGATGGCCATGTCACAATCCCTTCTCCTCTGTTATCTTCTTGGGATCCTGGGCACGCATGCACACGTGCCCGGTGTGAGTTTAAGCCACCAGGTCCGGGACTCGAACGGTGGTTGGATACGTGGGAGTCCAGCGACATAACCATTACGCCAACTGCTGGTCCTGAGACTGATGTTTCTGTCATCTATTTTAAGTTAAAGTAACCGTAGGACTTGATAATTCCCACAAGGCATCAAAGTGATCTGAGTTCTCATTCAGAGTTAGGAGAGAAATTCTCTCTAGGTCAAAAGAAAAATTTTTTCTTTTTTTCTTTTTTCTATTTTTGTTTAAGATAAGGTGTTGCCAAGTCACACTCCTTCTGCCTCAGTCTCCCCAGATCACTGGTATTACAAATACACACCACTGCACCAAGCCTTTAGGCTTGCCTGGGACTCAAACCAGGCCTCCTGAGTGGTCCCAGCCTGCAGAGCACAGAGTCCCGGCAGAGGTGCCACCGCAGCTAGCTGAGCTTCTCTGGGCAAATTTTAAAGAGACAATGAGACACCAAAATAAAATTTTGAATTACCTTTTATCAGTCTCGCCTTCTTTGACATACGGATTTCCTGAGGAAAACTGCCTATTTAGCAGCTACCCCTCCCTTTCACCGAAACGCAGCGCAACTACCGTCAGGGAACTCCCGGACACGTTTCCTACCTGGGTCCTTTTTCTTTAGTGGCACTTTTGCTGAGCACAGTATTCCGCCCAGAAGCAGGTTCTGATTTCTCTTCTGTGGGAGATCCAAATCCAGCACTAAAACGAAAACTATTTTTTTTCTTGTCATTTGAAAAAGCCACAACCAATGTCAATTATACGGAAAATAATCGTTTACATTTGCACGGCATTTTACAGTTATTGGGCATTTTCATTTCCATTTTATGATTTGATTCCTTTCACAAGGGACCAGGCATCATTCCATTGACAGCTAAGGAAACGAGACAGGAAATCTCGGACTCGCTAAGTCATGTGGATCAGACCCGCAGGCCTACCGCAGACAGAATGTGACAGAAAGATCTTTTCCGGGGATCTTTCCTGCAGCAGTTTCAAAAAGCGATTACACAATTACATTACCATAAAAGGAACAGGAATTTAAGTTGTCAATATCTAGAATCTAAAACTTTATTTAATCCCCAAATGAAGAGGGCGGTTCTTTAAGTAGAGATAAAATATTTTCTTTTAAAAAACATTTATTTACTTTTATTTATTATCATTATTTTTAAATTTGACCAGAGAGAGGAAGAGGGAAAGAAATAGAGGAAGAGTGAGAAAGCAAGTCCTCCAAGTCCAGGACTTGAACCGTGGTTGGCCATTCGGGAGTCCAGCGCCACCTGCCGGCCCTGAGATAAAACGTTGTCTTACCCGGTCTTTTCTTTACTGGCTCTTCTTAAAGAAGATGAAGAGGAAATACTTCGTCCATAACCAACATCTGATGATTTATCTTCCATGGATGGAGGTGGAGAACTAAAATTGTACACATTTGAAATTTTGTGTAAGTTTGAAAATTTATTTGTTATTATTGGCTTTTTCCCACAAAATAGTTTTTTTTTGTTTTTTTTTTCTGAAAATTGTTTGTGGAACTGAGTTTTAACAGTGACATGCTATTTTAAAAGCACAAAAGAGGACCAGCAGGTGGCGTGGTGGTTAAGGCGCTAAACTCCCACACGGCCTACCACGGTTAGAGTCCCAGACCTGGCAGCTTGCTTTCTCACTCTCTTTCTCTCTCTCTCCGTGTCTCTCTCTCTCTGGTCAAATTAAAAATAAATAAATAAATAAGTACAATTAAAATAAATCTTTAAAAAATAAAACAAGAGCATAAAGGAGAGGTTAAGAGAAGACAAGAAAGAGGTTATACAGTTTTTCATCAGTTACAACAGGAAATAGTCCCATAAATAGTATCATATAAGTACTATATACATATATAAAAAAGCATTTAAAGATGAATAATAAAGCTTTCATTTTCAGCTCTTCCATGTCTTATTTCAAAGAAAACCACTGGGTGAGGGTGGTAGTTACACTCCAGCATATAGTTCTGGAGACTTGGAAACATAAATCGCCTGGGTGTGATCTTACGTATACTTTTTCTATTACTCCACGGATGAGACGCCCTGACTTCAGAAATACACTTGAAATTAACAGGTAATCTGGAGTCATGGAAAAGCATGGAGAACATGTTGGATTCATGGTGATGGTTAGTCCACGTCAGGCTATGAGTTTTCAGACCAGTGCTCATTTTCATGGTGGTGTTGTTGCAGGGGAAAAGAAAGAAACTATACTGGCAATCTTTATGTACTCAAGCAAAATTATTATGTGGTTCCCTGCACCCTCCTACCCCCAAAGACTCACAAATCAGAAGATTTACTGTTCACTAAGATTACAGCACGTAGATCACTTGGTTCTTGAAAGCAGAGCTCCTTCAAAGGCAAAAGTTTGGTGCCAGGATTTATCTGTAAAATAATTTAAAGACCAAAAAAATAACATCTGTATGGATTACATATATATATATATATATGTAGAGAGAGAGAGAGCAAGAGAGAGAGAGAGATTTTTGCTATAGGGCACGTGGGTTCACTGGAGAGACAGAGAGAGAAAGTGAGAAATCACCCCTCAGAGGGGATGACCGCACTGCAATCCCTTCTCTATTCTCCTCTCGGGATCTTGGGTATGCACACACGTGTGCCTGGTGTGAGTTTCAAGTCGCCAGGTCCAGGACTCAAACCATGTCTGACTATGTGGGAGTCCAGCGATGTACTCATTACACCATCTGCTGGTCCCTGGATATTTTTAAAAATAAATATGGATATAATACGTTACCAACTGTTTGAGGTGTCTAATTTTGCACCCACAAACATGCATATGAATAAATAGAATCAGAAACAGGAAACCGAAGCCTGTGGACATTTTTGAGTTGGGCAGGACATATACAGTTTTGTACACTCTTACCGGTTTTATACTTAGCTGCTTCATACCATAATTATCATGTTGGATCCTAAAAGTATTTAAGTTTGAAAATTCATCTGGATAGTTAAAGGAGAATTTATGGTCTGTAAGAGTAACTGAATACTGAAACAGATCACTGAAGTGTTGTGTAGATGATCTAGAAATAGACAAAGGCCAGCCTTGTAACCCTAGTGGTTAAGAGAACTGGACCCCATGTGGCCAGCTGGGTTTGCATCCAGGCCCCGGCAGCTTGAAAAACATGCCTGGCAGTGTGTGTGTGCATACCCCAAATCCCAACAGGATGGAGAAATGGAGCAAAAGGGATTGTAGTGTGACCATACGGGAGAGTGCTTCCTTTCTTTCCCTGTCTCACTCTGGTATGTTCACACACCCTCTGGCAATTAAACACCCACACACGCACAATAAAACCAGGCTAGTTCAAGCCCTAGAATGGTAGTTTTATCAGCCTCCTAGAAGAGGGCTAGACCAGATCAACTTCTGAGATCTTCTCTCAGTCAAGTTATAGTTTGATCTCTTTCTCGTCCAGGAGACTTTTTCTTTTAGAGGTTTAGTTTAGTTTTGTTTTGTTTTCTTTAAGACACATGCCCTCACAGGAGAGGGAGGGAGGGAGAGAGACGGAGAGAGAGAGAGAGAGAGAGAGAAAGAGGGGTAGGGGGAGTGAGAAATCACCCCTTGGGGGCGTGACCATGCTGCAATACCTTCTCCTTGGTTCTCCTCCTGGGATCTTGGGCATGCACACGCATGTGCCTGGCATGAATTTCAAGGCACCAGGTCTGGGAATCGAACTGTGATTGGTCATGTGGGAGTCCAACAATGTAACCACTATGCCATCTGCTGGTCCCCATGAGACTTTTAATGTAAGACCTAGCCCTTGTTCTTCTGTCCAGGACCCTGCCACAGATTCCACCTCATCTCGTAGGGCCACGGCCTCCCAATGGTCTACAGAACTCCCGCGATCTGGCCTCCCTGCACCTCTCTGCCTCACTCTCTGAGCTTCTCCCAGTTCGTTCACTCAGTTCTAGTTACACTGGCCCTCCTGCTGTTCTCAAACACGCCAAGAGTGTTGATAGCATATGGTTTTGAAATGATTATTTCCTCAGCTGAGAAAGCTCTTCCCCAGGTATCCCCATGGCTAAGTCCTCCACCTCCTGCAGGCTCAGATACTTGCCTCTCGGAGTGGCCCACTCTACCACCATTTCTAAAATGGCAACCCCTAGCCCAGTCTTCCCCAGCACTGGAAAGGCTCCTTGGTTGGCGTCTGCTCTTTTCCTCCCAGAGCCGTTATCATCCCTATCACCAGATGCAATCGATTTGTCATGTTTGTTGTTCATTATCTGCGTCTGTCCACTGGTACATGGGAGCTGAGATTTTGGTTTCCTTAGTTCACGGACATATTCAAAGCTGACAATAACGGAAAGTTAATCCTATCAAATGAATGAGTCAGAGAATTCTCCTTTATAAGGGATATTGTCTCATTAAAGTTTTATAAAATTCATGACCAAATACATTTTGTCAGAATTCATCTATGGCAGCTCTTTTCTGGCTGGAATCATGGAGGGCATTCAAGAGAAGAAAAAGAAGGTTCCTGCTGCGGCAGAAACCTAGAAAAAGGCTCCTGCGGTGGCAGAAGCCACCAGGAAAAAGGTTCCTGCTGTGCCAGAAACCCTTGAGAAAAAGCGAAGGAATTTTGCGGAGCTGAAGTCAAGCATCTGAGAAAAAAAATTGGCTCAAAAGATGCTTCGAAAGGCAAGGAGGTGGTTTATTTGTGAAAAAGCTCAGCACTATCATAAGGAATATAGACAGATGTACAGAACTGAAATTCGCATGGCCAGGATGGCAAGAAAAGCTGGCAACTTCCACGTACTTGCAGAACCCAAATTGGCATTTGCCATCAGGATCAGAGGTACCAGTGGAGTGAGGCCAAAGGTTTGAAAGGTGTTGCAGCTTCTTCGCCTTCGCCAGATCTTCAATGGCAACTTTGCTGAGCTCAACAAGACCTCAATTAACATGCTGAGAATTATGGAACCATAAATTGCATGGGGGTACCCAAACCTGAAGCCAGTAAATTAATTGATCTACAAACGTGGTTATGGCGAAATCAATAAGAAGCAAATTGCTTTGACAGATAACTCTTTGATTGCTCGATCTCTTGTTAAATTTGGCATCATCTGCATGGAAGATCTGATTCCTGAAATCTATACTGTTAGAAAACGCTTCAAAGAAGCAAATAACTTCCTGTGGCCCTTCAAATTATCTTCTCCACGAGGTGGAATGAAGAAAAAGACCACCCATTTTGTAGAAGGTGGAGATGCTGGCAACAGGGAAGACCAGATCAACAGACCTATTAGAAGGATGAACTAAGGTATCCACCATGATTATTTCTGTAATCTGGTCAGTAAATAAACAGTGGCTGTTTTGAGACTGCAATATATTGCTGGATTAGCAACTTTTTTGTGAGCTTGGCTCTGCCTTGCCTTAACTATCGTGGCCCATCTTGGTGCTTGGTAAAATTAAGCCAAAACTTCTGTAAGACTAGGGTCCATTTTTTTATTTTGTGAAAATCACTTAGGGACTGTCAAAAGGCTTTTCCTACACCAGGAAGGCCTAATGTTTCCCCCTTTGAATTTTGCTGAGTAAAAATGGGTTTATTCAAATAAAACTTATTTCAAGGCATTCATGCATGATTTGTAGGTAAGGTAATAAAATAAAGGTCAGTTCACATAAAAAAAAAATTTTTTTTTTCAATCTATTACAGAAATTTCCTGGCGGGTATTCTACTCTCACTCAGTTTTCTTTCTTTTTAAAATTCATTTTTTGTTTATTTGTTTGTAACTGCCAGAGGCCATAGGAGCTACCAGGAAGAGACAGAGGGAGAGGGGGGACAAGGAGGAAGGGCCACCTAATGAGGGTGGTCACACCACAAACTCTTCTCCATTTCTCCATCCTGTCAGGATTTTGAGCGTGCAAAATCAAATGGTTGGCCCATCCCGCAGTTTTTTAAAAGCATTTTTGTGGTGACGTTGCATCAGTTCTTTTAAATTATTCATCATTGAATGAGATAGACTTCCTTGGAACAATCTCTCAGTGGTCTGTGTGTGTCACAGGGTGTTACAAGGTGTGGTGGTTGCAGGAGAAGCAGAAGGAAGAGGCAGAGTAAAGTTTAAGTGAGGTATTTCTCATTATTCAAAATTTCTTGCATCCTCTGTTACCAGGATTAAGGGTTCCCATGGGGGACACGGCTATGGGAAACTTTCATGGCCTTGTCTCCTTTGCTTCTCTGAACCAAGTCCGTCAAGGAGGGCCTCTGCTGCCTTGCCTACCCCAGGCCTGAGCTCCTGGCAAACAAAGCAGAGAGCGTTTTCACTTTGGAGTTCTCCCATCATCTCAGGGAGTCTGTATTGTTGGTAGTGCTTTCTGAGACCATCATCATGAGCTCTCTTGTTCTTTGCTCTCTCTCTCCCTCCACCTTTTTATTATTATTATTTTTTAATGTTTTTCCTCCTGCACAACTTCTGATCAATCTCAGAGACTTTCAGCAACCCTTAAGATTTATTTATTTATTTATTTATTTGGAGAGGTTTTTGCCACAGGGCACATGCATGTGCCAACAAGACAGAGAGAGACAGAGAGACAGAAAGCGAGAAATCACTCTCCAGGGGAAATGGCCACGCCGCAATCCCTTCTCCTCCATTCTCCTCTCGGGATCTTGGGCATGCACGCACACGCGCCCAGCGTGGTTTAAGCCGCACTGTTGGGAATTCGAACTGTGGTCGACTACATGGGAGTCCAGCCACGTAACCGTAATGCCATCTGCTGGTCCCAACCCTTAATATTTTTTGAAGTCTGAGGATCACATTTGTTTCCTAGCTTTGCCAAAATGAGATTTGTGTGTTATTTCTTTTAATCTCTCCATTCTCCTTATTTATTTATTTGGAGAGGTTTTTGCTATAGGGCACGTGTGCTTGCTAAAAAGAGAGAGACAGAGAGACAGAAAGCGAGAACTAACCCCCCAGTGGGGATGGCTATGCCACCATCCCCCTTCTCCTTTATTCTCCTCTCAGGATCTTGGGCACGCATACACACACGCCCGGCGTGAGTTTAAGCTACCAGGTCTGAGACTCAAACCACAGTCAACTACATGGGAGTCCAGCAACATAGCCGTTACTCCAACTGCTGGTTCCTTTTTTTTTTTTTAAGAGAGATTTTTGTTATAGGGCATCTCTGTCTCTCTCTAGTGAGCACATGTGCCTGTACCAAGTTAAAAAAAAATAATAATAAATAAAATAAAATAAACAATTCTTTTTTTCTTTTTCTTTTCTTTTCTTTTTTTTTTTGGAGAGATATTTGCTATACGGCGCTTGCCCTCATTGGAGAGACAGAGACATAGAGACAGAAAGTGAGAAATCACCCCCCAACCCCCGAGGGATGGCCCCATGGTACAAACCCTTCTCCATTCTCCCCCAGGGATCTTGGGCAGGCACACACACACACACACACACACACACACACACACACACACCTGGCATGAGTTTCCAGCCTCCAAGTCCAGGATCTGAACTGTGGAAGGCCATGTGGGAGTTCAACACTGTAACCATTATGCTATCTGCTGGTCCCAATAAATAATTATTTTTTAAAAAGTCCTTTCTTTTATAGCTTATCTAAAACTTGAGATTGACATTACCAAGCTGACTTAAGTACAGTAGTCAGATTCTAGTTAAAACTGTACAAAAACGCAAAATCTTGTAAATGGACAAAGTTAAGGAAGAAGAACTGATTTTCAAAATTCTGTTTATAGAAGGTAAATTATGGTAGGTGGTTAAATAATTGCAGTTTAATGGCATGATGATTAAATACAAATACTCATCATACATACTAAAATACAAATAAGAGTAGCCACTTACCCGACCGTAATCAAAGAATCCATCACTGATTATGTTACTCGATGACAAGTAGCCCGTCTGGCTATATTTCAGGGAAAGATTGTGGTTGAGCAATTTGTTATAAGCTGCCTCGCTGAATTTATTTTTTTTACTTAATGATAGATTAATCTGCTCAAGGATATCTAAGGCCCTGTCAATAAAAGCAAAAAGCATTATTTATATTACATAAGCAGTCCATCATTGAGTTCCTGAGTTACTTACGATCCTGAATAAGAGTCCCGTTTGCTTAAGACCCTGACTGAGACTTGAGATAAAAAACTTAAAGCCTTCCCTATCGCTTTTTGATAAAGTGATACTAGCAGAAGTATGAATTCAGCTCTTCTTGAGAACATATACACCCGCCATAGGGTAACTTTTGTTCAAACAGTGAAAAGGACACATTTTGGCGGGGCCGGGGGGGGGGCAATTCTTGTTCATTTAAAGAAAAATTGGTATTGGGCTCTAACTTTTTTGGTTCACCAAACAAATGAAGAACAAGAATAGTCACCCATGGGACCAGCAGTTAGCGTAATGGCTATGTTGCTGGACTTCCATGTAGTCCACTGCCGTTCTAGTCCCAGATCTGGTGACTTAAACTCACTCCAGGTGCATGTGCATGCATGCCCAAGATCCCCAGAGGAGAATGGAGAAGAAGGGATTGTGCGTGGCCATCCCCCCTGGGGGGTGACTTCTCGCTTTCTGTCTCTCTGTCTCTCTGTGTCTTTCTGGCGAGCACACGCGCCCTATAGCAAAAACCTCTCCAAAAAAAAAAAAGAATTAATAAGAAAAAATGGTAAAAATGGTCACCCATGACTAGAGTAAACCTGCCTATGGAACCTTGACGCCCTCTTTGCTTACATGCTAACGGCCACGCCCTCGTCTGTGGTTTGGGAGGAGAACCCACTGGGTGAAGGTGCTTACACAGGAGTTCTGGTGACACCAAGTGGCTGAGGGCTGGGAAAAAACAGAGATGGTAGTCCTGGCTCAACCCATCTACCTTAGCTTTGAAGTTGAGAAGCAAACAGGGTAGTGTTTGGCAAAGAAAGAAATGCATTTATCAAGACGAAGCAGAAAGGGAAATACCGAAGATGATTCTGTAAAGGGCAGGAGGGCGCTCTCAGGTGGGAAGGGGCAGGGAAGGATGCACTGCAGCCAGGCAGTCCCTCCGGACCAAGGGCCCGCACTGTGGCCAACCCCCACTCCTGAGCACTGAGTGTGGGCTCTCCTTGCCCTTCCTTAGGCCCGACAAGTGTGCTTCTCTGTCCCCAGATCTTCATCTGAGTCCGACCCTGGTCTCCCACTCCCACTCACCCGAGCCTGCATAATTCTGTGGCCATCAGCTCGTCGCCGGCACAGACCATCACGGCCCAGCTCGCGTGCCTCCTCACTTCCTCGTTCTTGGATTGCAGGAGCTCTACGAGGGGCTCCAGCCCACCAGAATTTCTTAACTAAAAGTGAAAACCGAAACGTGGTGAAAGCTTTTCTTCTTTCCCCTTAATTGCCAGAGGGCACGTGTGCTTGCTGGAGAGAGACAGAGAGAGGGAAAGGGAAAAAAGCATCCCCCTGAAGTGGGCAGGTGGCCTGGCAGTTAAAGGCACTGGACTCCCACATGACTGACTGTGGTTCAAATTACGGACCTGGTGGCTTGCCTTCTCACTTTCCCTCTCTCTTTCTGTCTCTCTCTGGTCAAATAAATAAATAAAGTTAAGTAAAATAATTCTAAAAAAAAAAAAAAAAAAAAGCATTCCCCAAAGGGGCATGGTCATGCTGCAATTCCTTCTCCATCTCTCTGTTCTGTCAGGATTTGGAGCATGCTCAGGCAAGTACCTGGCCTCTAGAGCAGAGCAGGGTTTCTTTTTCCTTTCTTTCTTTCTTTCTTCCTCTTTCTTTCTTTTTGGAGAGGTTTTGCTATAGGGCGCGTGTGCTCTCCATAAAGACAGAGAGAGACAGAGAGACAGAAAGCGAGAAATCACCCCCCAGGGCGGATGGCCACGCTGCAATCCCTTCTCCTTCATTCTCCTCTCAGGATCTTGGGCATGCACGCACACGCGCCCGGCATGAGTTTAACCCACCGGGTCCGGGACTCGAACCATGGTCAACTACGTGGAAGTCCAGCGACATAGCTATCATGCCAACTGCTGGTCCCTAGAGCTGAGTTTCAAACTGTGATCAGCCCTGTGGGACTCAGCTCCCTTAACCACTGGCTTTCTGTGCCTGCCCAGAAACCAAAATGTTACACATAAAGGGTCTAGGTTACAAACATTCGTGCTTTTTATAATCTCATTATTTGATTGTGAAAAAATTTTAGCTATGTAAAAACATTTAATAATGTGTCCATATTTAGATTTATTAAATTTAGGGGGAAAATCTATCGCACATACAGTAACTTACAGACAGGAGCCCCGTTTTCTGTTTGAAGTAAAGAAGAGAGAGGGCCTCAGGATTATAGTGAACTGGGGCCTGGGGAAAGCACCAGTCTTCTCACTGCCCACCCATAGGGTGCCCTCTGCTCAGTTCCACTGCTCCTGAACACTGAGGGCTCTCCTGACCATGCCATAGGGTAATAACGTCCCCCAAAGGTGACTTTATGCCTGGAAGGGACTTTGCTGATGCAAATTAAGGGAGTTTTGAGATTAGATTATTCTGGATTATTCACGTGGCTAAAGAAGGAGACAAGCCTCCCAGACGCACAAGAAGGAAACGGAAGCAGAGCTTGGAGTGCTGTTCTTTAAAGATGGGGGCCACAAGCCAAGCAATGCAGGCAGCTCCTAGAAACTGGACGAGGCAAGGGAACAGATTCCCCCTAACACCTCCAGAAGGAATGCGGCTCCGCCGCCGCCTTGATTCTAGTTTGTAAGACTCATTTCAGACTTCTGACCTCCAATCTGTAAGACTGTAGGTTCATATTGCTGTAGCCATTTGAGGTGATAATTCCTTTCGGCAGCAATAGGAAACTCACATGGTCCCTGAAACTGGGGCAGGAGGATTTGATGCAGGCAAGCACACCTGTGTCACTGGAGACTGGTGCCAGGTCATTGAGTGGCCAAGGCAATACCAAAGCAATTCTCTAGAAAAAGATTCTTCTTGGCTCTCCTTACCATGTCTTTCTGAGTGGCATGATGGTTAAGGCGCTGTACTCCACACAGCCGACTGTGGTTTGAGTCCTGGACAGGGAGCTTGAACATAAACGCCAGGCACATGTGTGTATGCCCAAACTTCCAAGAGGTCATTGGAAGTGAAGGGATTGCAGCATGGCCATCCCCACGGGGGGTGGGAAGTAGAAGGTGGATTTCTCACTTTCCCTCTCACGATCTTTCTCTCTCTCTCTCTGGCAAGCACACATACCCTATGGGAAAAACCTAAATAAACAAACAAATGAAAACCCACAATGTCTTCTCTTCATTTCTCCAAAGAGGAAGAGAAGAAAATGAAGAGAATTGGATGAAACTACATTAATTACAGAATTAAAAGAACTTACTCATGTATAAAATTATTCAACAATTGGTAAGCAGATATCTGGTGACTCTCTTACTACCTGACTGGGTGGATACAAAGGAACTCAGTCAATGGGAAAAAAGAAGGGATAGGAGTGGACAGAGTCGAGAGACAGAAGCACAAAGACGAGGCATTAATAGTTGTCCGACAGACACAGCGTGAAGTCCGGGCTCTGGATTTAGCGAGATGAGCTCTCGTATTCCTGATCTGCCACGTACCAGCTCTGCTGTGAGCACATTAAGAGCAGATGTCAAAAAACTCGTAGAAAAATGGAATTAAAGGACAAGTTTATTTTGTTGAAAAAATATTGGGAAACCCATTTATAGCTTTCTCAGACTATGCATTCCTACAAACTTTCTGAAGGTCCTTGCATTTCTTTAAGCCTAATTTCCTTACTTGTAAAATGGGGGTGATAAGCATTTCTATTTCACGTGAGGCTGAATTGCATGTGAAGTGCTTAGCACTGTGCATGGTACATTGTAGGCGCTCAATAAATGTTAGCTTTTGTTATTTTTACTGGGGAGAGAGGAAAGAAGTTCCAGGCTGTTTGAATGAGTGTCATGCTGACATACGAAAAAAGTGAGAGAAAAAGAATGTGTGTGAGTTTATGTCAGGTTTTACGAAGATTTAATAGAAATCTCCAAAGTATCAAGAAAATGTTAATGCTATTGTGTGTTTTAAGATGATGAAATAGAAAAGAAATATAAGAGTATATGTAACTCATGAGTACTTTCAAGAACCCTAGTAAAAGGCACCCCATAAAGAAATGACGCATTTCAGGGAACCAGCAGTTAGCGTAACGGCTATGTTGCTGGACTCCCACGTAGTCGACCGCGGTTCATGTCCCGGACCCGGTGGCTTAAGACTCACGCCGGGCGTGTGTGCGTGCGTGCCCAAGATCCCAAGAGGAGAATGGAGGAGAAGGGATTGCGGCGTGACCATCCCCCTGGGGGGTGATTTCTCGCTTTCTATCTCTATGTCTATGTCTCTCTCTGTCTGTCTGGCGAGCGCACGCGCCCTATAGTGAAAAAACCTCTCCAAAAAAAAAAAAAAATGAAATGACACATTTCAGTGACTTTAATCTCTGTGTTTCCTGCCCAGCCATAGCCACCCTCTAACTCTCTTCAGAGGCCACCACTTTCTTGAATTTGGAATTAATCACTTCCTCACTTTTTGTTGTGGTTTAAATTTTTATGTATATATGACTTAAAAATATATTACTTGGCTTTGCATTCTTTTCAAGTTTCTTTATTACTTCCATAAGTGAGGGGAGAGAGACAGAGAGAGAACCACCGACATGGTCTTGATGCTGTGATCACCTTCAGCTTCAGCCCACCCGAGGTTATGGGCACACAGAAGCCAGGTATGCTCAGAGTGGGCTCCAGATATGAACTGTTAACCTTCTCAATGTGCGTCTGCCTCCCAGAGCATCGTGCTTCACCACTGCCACTGTCTGGCCCCGTTTTGCAGATTTTTGAACACACGTAAATGAAATCAGAAGTATGTGTTCTTCTGCAACTTGCATTTACTCAGCAGAATGTTCATGCAATTCATCCCTGTTGCTGTCTGTAGCTGTAGTCCATTCATTTTTACTAACACAGGATCTCACTGAATGAATACACCACACTGTGCTTATGCTGTCTTTTAACAGCTGGGCAATTGGTTTGTTTCCAGCTGTTTAGATAGTGTAAGCCACGCTTCCTGGTGCACAGAGGTGAGGGACTCCCTTAAGTATGCACCTAAACAACAGAACTTCTGGGTTACAGAGTTTGCTTACCTTCTTTGCTAAAAAAAATGCCTATTTGTTTTCCAAAGTGTTGTACCAATTTTGGAAGGAGCCAAATGATGGATACATTCAAATGCTGTTTCAAATTAATCTACCAGTATGTACCAACCAGAAAAATGAAAAAAAAAAAATGCTATCACAACTCTCACCTCTGTCCGGGCCTCAACGTCACACGCAGTTGCAGCAACCATGAGTGCAGCTTTGCTCTGTACGACTGTGTTGGCAGAGCGCAGCGGGCCGATGATGGCGTGCATGACGTCACGGCTCTGGATGCTCACGCGCAGGGGCTCCTGCATTGCCATGTTTGTTAGGACCGTGGCAGCGTTGGCAATGGCTCCATCTCGTTTACTAGACAAAGTGTTTATTAACGGATCGATACCATCGGCCTCAGCAGCAGCACTGGGTAAATGAAGGAGAAATGAACGCGGTTCATCTGTGTTCCAGAAATTAACTTTAGCCTGCCACTGAGCTTATAAAACAAATGAGTTCAGAAAGCCAATTTGAGAGAGAAATTAATTTGCCACGCAATGAACTCAGAATGGAGTGATTTCAATGAAGTCTGGGAAAATTTCAGGTGTGAATGAATTTCAATTTTACAACCTTCTGGTTCTCAAAAATATATATGACTATCACTTCTTAGAAACCGTCTTACAGCTGTGAATGTTTTTGCTTAGTCTTATTTTTAAGACCAAGAAATTATTTTCCAAGAAAGTCTATTACAATATTCTTAACTATTAGGAAAATGAAGCCTTAAATAGAGGGAGTGAGTGAGCATGGGAACTCCTGATTTAGGTTAAAATTCTTCAGCCTATCTTCCTTTCTTTAAATTAGGTCATTAACTGTGGGCACACGTTAACATGTTTGACACCAGCAAATAATTTTGCACGTGAACTTTGCTTCTACAAATTAAACATTAGAGATCAAAGTCATGATGTTAATATAAATAGATAATTTTAGTAATGTAGGCAGATTCCGTCATTAAATTTCCTATTTCTAGTATAAGAAAAGCTACAGCTACCCGTTAACAACATTTTTTCACAATTAGAAAGCCCAAATCTTCTTTTAAGAAAACAGTACTTTCTCTACCTCTTGCTTTTTTAATCACTTTAAAAGCTCATAAGATAGTAAAAACATGAATTACAGCATTTTAATGAGTGGGAAATGATTTCATTATGTTTTTAAATGTTTGAAATTGCTTTTAAATAAGTCCCAAGCAGTAGGATATACACAGTATCCCAGCTTTAAAGAAAGATATGTGTTCAAAATCCATTTAAGGGCAGGTGGCATGGAGGCTAAGGAGTGCTGGACTCCTACGTGGCTGACCACAGTTCGAGTCCGGACCTGGCAGCTTGCCTTCTCACTTTCTCTCTCTCTCTTTCTTTCTTTCTCTCTCTCTTTCTGGTCAAATTAAATTTAAAAAATGATGATGAATACATTTTTTAAAAATAAAAATATCATTTAGAGGGCCAGCAGATGGCATGATGCTTAAAGTGCTGGACTCCCACACGGCCAACCACGGTTTAAGTTCTGGACCTGGTGGCTTAAAAGTCACACCGGGCATATGTGCATGTGTGCTCAATATCCTAGGAGAGAAATGGAGGAGAACGGATTGTGGCAGTGTGGCCATCCCCCCCTGGGGGGTGATTTCTCACTTTCCCTCTCACTGTCTCTCTCTGGCAGGTGCACACTCCCTATGGGGGGAAAAATCCATTTAGGGCTGGCTCTGTAGCACAGCGGTCAGGTTCCACATGGCTATCCTGGTTCAAATCCTGGCCCCAGCAGCTTGAATAACATGCCAGGCACATGTGTACATTCTCTGGATCCCGAGGGAATGGAGAAGTGAGGGGAAAGGCTTGCAGTGAGACCAGACCTTACTGAGAAGATCTCTCTCTCTCTCTCTCACTCTGTTTTGTGTGCATACATGCACTCTCTCGCATAAAAAATTCATTTAAATTATCATAGGAATAGGGGTCCTCAAGATCATAAAAAAGTACTTAAGACTTCAATAATACAAACTTTTTTTGGATGAAGCTTTTTAATAAGAAAAACGGCACTGAACATTTTCCCCATATTCTCATGTCTCTCCACCCCCACTTCCTTGCTCTTCCCAAAGACAGAGTCTGGCCTCTGCTTATATTTGACTCAATTGTTCTTCCACTTAGGATCATACGATAACCCAAGTTCGAGTTCCACAATTTAGCCCATCACCCCGTACTCCAATGAAATAATAGAGTACTGTTGTTCCAATGTGCTGATTGTGAAGGGGGAGAGAAGTTACGACAATTGGGGCCAGCAGTTAGCGTAATGGCTATGTCGCTGGACTCCCACGTAGCCGACCGCAGTTCGAGTCCCGGACCCGGTGGCTTAAACTCACACCGGGCGCGTGTGCATGCGTACCCAAGATCGCGAGACAGAGGAGAAGGGATTGCAGCGTGGCCATCCCCCCTGGGGGTGATTTCTCTCTTTCTGTCTCTCTGTCTCTCTCTGTCTGTCTGGCAAGCGCACGCGCCCTGTAGCAAAAACCTCTCCAAAAAAAAAAAAGTTACGACAATTGTCCATCAGAGAGAAGAAAACATTTCGACCAGGAGAACGGTGACCCTGGGAGAAGGGAGCCAGGTATTGCGGTACAACTGGCTCTGAAGGAGGCGGAGGAGCAGGGACGGACAGGAGTGAAGAGTAGAGGAGGCAGCTCCAAGAATGCAGGGTGTGGGCAGCATTAGCCACGGAAGGCTACCTCCCGCCTCCGGGGTTACCGCTGTGACCAGCTGGTGACTGACACACACCACGTTGTCCCAAGCCTAGCTCCCTTTTTTGTTGTTGTTGTTGTTAAATATTTAATTGTATCTATTCATTCATTTATTTTAATTTGACCAGAGAGACACAGAGAGAGTGAGGGGTAGTGAGAAAGCAAACCACCAGGTTCAGGACTCAAACCTTGGTCAGCCATGTGGGAATGTCCAGCACCTTAACTGCCACACCACTGCCTAGCTACCTTTCTACCTCTTCTCCAGCCCTCAGTGTGCAGTCAGCCTGTCTCGGGGCATCTCCCGTTCTTTCTCTGGGAAGGCATCCCTTAAAGTTACAACTTGGCTAGATAACATGCAACCAAGATTTCTCACCTAAAAATGGTGGCAGGCTCTGAATCTCAATAGCCTGGGGGTCAGCATTTAATTACCCCCTATCCTCAGGGATAAAATAAACCATTTCTAGTTACTCTGTGCTCACCAAAGAGAGAGAGACAGAGAGAGAGAGAGAGACAGTGAGAAACCACTCTCCAGGAGTATGGCCACATGTTAATCCCTTCTCCTCCATTCTCCTCTCAGGATTTTGGACATTCACACGCATGTGTGATTTTCAAGTCACCAGGTCTGGGACTCAGACTGCTTAGTCAGCCATGTAGGATCCAGCACCTTAACTTCCATGCCACCTGCTGGCCCTAACATAAACACTTTTAAGATAATTTCAATTTTAGTTCTCTCTCCTCTTATTAATGGGCATGGTAGTCATTTAGTTCTGTGAATAAGGGAAAATTTGGTCTCTCTGCATAATACCATAGTTGATTATAATTCATAATTTTACTTACATATTTTTATAGTTGAAACATTGAATTTTTAAGAAACTTCCAGTAAGGATTTTAAATTATGCTTATTTTCTGATGAATTATATGTATACATACTTAAACCTTTCCAAATCATTTTTTTTTCTGTTGTTATTTTTCAGGCATTAATGCAAACAGTACCTTAGACCGATAGTTTGTATTTTTAAATCATTTTAAACATTCCTTGGCCAAAATGCATGCATCTTTTGTCACTTGGTGGTTTGTCCTTTGACAGTGTTCACTTTTTTTTTTTTTTTTTTTGCCATGGGGCCTGTGTGCTCACTGGAGAGAAAAAGAGAGACAGAGGGACAGAGAGAGAAAGAGAAAGTGAGAAATCACCCCACAGAGGTGATGGCCATGCCACAGTCTTCTCCTCCTGGGATTTTAGGCATGTACACGCACACGCCCGGCATGATTTTGAAGCCACCAGGTCCAAACTGCAGTTGACCATGTGGGAGTCCAGCACTTTAACCACCATGCCACCTGCTGGCCCTGACAAGGCTCACTTTTTAAAATGTCTCGGAGAATGAAGAGAATTAAGGTATTTCAGTGACACTCATGATCACAGCCAGAGAATTTCAAGTAAATGTTCTCCCATAAGCTCCAAAGACTTTGTCTTTCATGTGCATCAGGGACTTTTTGGAAAATTAAAGGTGCCTATAGAATCAGAATCCACTATAGTTTAGATGAGTTGTTTTATTATTAATTTATTTTTATATTGATGATTATTTTTGCATATTATAGCTGTATTAGCTTTTGGTTCTCTTGGAAACTAAGAAAGTGAAAACAAACAAACAAAGTAAAAACTAACAACAATTGGGTCATAGAAATACAGAAATTTTGGGACTAGTAGTTAGCATAATGGCTATGTCGCTGAACTCCCATGTAGTCGACCGTGGTTCGAGTCCTGGACCCGGTGGCTTAAACTCACGCTGGGCGCGTGTGCATGCATGCCCAAGATCCCAAGAGGAGAATGGAGGAGAAGGGATTGCAGCGTGGCCATCCTCCCTGGGGGGTGATTGCTCGCTTTCTGTCTCTCTGTCTCTCTCTTTCTGGTGAGCGGACGTACCCTATAGCAAAAACCTCTAAAAAAAAAAAAAAAAAAAGAAAGAAATACAGAAATTTCTACCAGGGGCACCTTAGTGCTCAGCCTCTCAAGAAAGATTGGCTTCTTTCTTTGCTGTGCACGGATGTGTATTTTGCCTTGGTTCATGTCTCTCTCGACCTTCTTTCTGCTCTTTTCTTTGCTCTTTATGGAGACAGTAAAGGGAAGTACGTCAAAACATACCATCTAAAGAGCCGAAGCTTCTAGCACGCAGTGGAATGTAGCTGTTCCTAAATCAGGCATAACGACCAGCACAGAGACTAGCTATATGTGTGCAGCTGGGAAGAAGGCCCCGCAGGACCTGGACCTGTCTGCCCAGGACTGGCCACATTTGACTCTAAGTCTAAAAAGAGCAACAAAGATTAACGTTCCGTTGTGGAAAATCAAACTATTCTTCTTCCCTGACAAAAACAAACAAAACAAAACAAACCAACTTATTTCATTTATAGAAATAGAGTGCAGAATCTCTACTTAGAAAAAAAAAAAGAAAAAGAATTGCATTAATTTTGTTTCTTTCAAACCCAAGACGTTTTGTTTTCTTTTTCCCTGTCTCTACTATGTACACAAGCTGAGGCCTGTCATATTTTTAAAACACATTGCAGTTTCCCAAATAGGATAGCAGTATCCAAGTGAATGGGACAGAAGTCAAACTGCTTTGTTAGAAAAACCCAGAATTAGAGGGCCATATGTCATCAT